GTCCCACCCCCGGGCGGTTGGGCATTCGTCACCAGCCTCTCCCACCCTCAGCAGGTGCCAAAATACGGCAGGAAAGGGTTTTCCATCCCTTTCAGTCTGGTACTGGGGGCAATTCCTCCTATACGTATCTCCAATTTTATCCAACTCTTCCGCAGCTGTACTGTCCCGGAAGAGTCACTTGTATTGCTTTGGCTTTCTTACTTCATGATGACAAAATATAAACATCAGTTGGAGCTATTTGGTTTTATTATACATAGCTAAAGTCATCCCCGCATTTGCTATTCCCAGCTTAACAGTACGTTTTACAAGATTGCTAATGCTAAAATAATTTAGCATCACATCACTCTCTGTCTCCTTGCATGGCAGAATCACCCTAAGATGACATGGGAAGCATTAAACTTGTCCTACGAGTCCTCCCTGCACTTACTACAGGAGTGCTCACGCCATACACCGTTCCTTCAAACACAGGAACATCTGTGGTGCTCCATATTTTTCCATGGTAAAATATTTACAAGTTTGTAAACCCATTAAAACTTCCGAAAAAAACTGCAGCATTTCTGTTTTCCTCCCTCATACTAACAAAGCTATTAGTCCTTACAAATTCATAAATTTCACCAAAAAAAAAAAAAAAAAACCCCAAAAAAAAAAAAAGGGACCAAAAATTACGCCCAGATGCTTAGCCCAGATGCTTTCAAAAAGCCGCTGTCTGCCCAGGTTTCAGTGCTCAGCCGCGCTGCTCACGGGAACACACAACCGACCGAAACAGCAAAGCTCGAACCACAAACTACTTGCCGACACTTTTTTTTTTTTTCCCCCTCAGACAAAACAAGTGCCAGGTGGCAAAAAGAAAAGATTTGAATGAAATGCTCTTAAGAAATAGCTGTTTAATTCAGAACTCATTCATTTGTATTGAAGAAGCGTTTTGTAGAACGCATTCTGTTAAGTGACCTGAGAGCATATGTTGTATACGGAGAAACATCTAAACATTATGCTCCATGTTGTATGTGTATCTGTAAACGCTTGCATTAGCTGTCTGAAAACAACGGGTTTTTCTTCTTTTCAGCGTTTAAAAATATTTTCCAAACACAAAGATTGATATTTTTATGCTAGCTCCGATTACCCTTTTGTTGTTATCAGGTCTGTTTTGTTTTTTTTTTTTTTACTTCTTTTTTTTTTTTAATAACTGTTTTAAACTTTGCAATCAACTTGCTTTTAAGAAGATAAAACTCCACGGAGAAGTTAGTCATCAAAACCAATTAACAGCAGATTTCAAACACAGAACGTTAAGGTCTTTTAAGAACTTGGAGGAAAGCAAGCTCCCCAACCACGTTTATTGTACTGGCAGAGGATAAATAAACTAGAAGCTAAAATCTGAGCTGGGTGAAAGCAACCCTGAGGCTGGCAATCCTGCCCCCAGCCCCGCGCCCTGCTCCCGCGGGGGCTGGCAGCACTCGTCTCTGTGCCAGGCACCCCCTGGGGAGGGCTGGAGGACCCGCGTAGGAAGGAATTGGTGCCACTCCTTAATTGACCGAATGGGCGCCTGTTGAACGACACAACCCATTGCACGGGAGATTACGACGTTATCCAAGGTGGCACGAGCCCTCTGGATGGCTACGGAGGAGCCCTGGCACAAGGCTCGGGCAGTGAAGGTCAGTAACTGGTGGCAGGAGGGGAGGAGCAGAGGTCTGAGCAACTCCGGTCTGCGCCGTGCACGTGTTTGCGTGACCCCC